GATTCCTTCTGCCAAGGTGCAGCACCCTGCATTTCTCTACGTTGAAACCCATCCTATTCTCGTCTGCCCACTTTTGTAGTCTGTCTAAATCTAGTTGTAGCCTCTCTCTCCCTTCAAGTGTGTCCACCTTGCCTCACATCTTAGTGTCATCAGCAAACTTGGACAGCATGCTTTCCATCCCCTTGTCCAAGTCGCTGATGAAGATGTTAAACAGTGTGGGCCTCAGGACCAAGCCCTGGGGTACCCCACTTATCACATGTTGCCAGGTTGAGTACAACCCGTCCAGCACTACTCTCTGGGTGTGCCCCATCAGCCAATTTTTTACCCATCCAACTGTGTAGGCATCAATGCCACAGTCGCTTAATTTATTGATGAGGATGGGGTGAGAGACCGTGTCAAAGACCTTCTTAAAGTCTAGAAAGACTACATCCACGGTGACACCATCATCCAAGAATTTAGTTACTTGGTCATAAAAGGCAATCAGGTTGGTCAGGCAGGACCTGCCTTTGAGCCCATGCTGATTGCCCCTGAGCATGATCTCCCCTGCTGGCCCACCACAGATGTGTTCCTTGCTGATTCTCTCCAAGATTTTCCCAAGCACCGAGGTGAGGCTTACAGGCCATAGTTACTTGGGTCCTCCTTCCTCCCTTTCTTGAAAATTGGAACCACATTAGTCAGTTGCCAATCCCCCGGCACCTGGCCAGATTACCACAAATGCTCATACAGCTGGGCCAAGGGCTCCGCAATGACCCCTGCCAGCTCGCTCAACACCCTTCGAGTGAAAGGCATCTGGACCTGCAGATTTAAAAATGTCTAGCCCTTCCAGAAGATCCCTAACTACATCTGCACTGACTGAAGGCCTGACAGAGCTATCCCCAAGAATGTCCCTACTTCTGGTAGGTGGGATATCCCGGTCCCTGTTCAAGAAAACAGAGGCAAAGAAACTGTTAAAAATATCGGCTTTCTTGTCTGGCATCGCCACAAGATTACCATTTGTGTCTTGCAGGGGCCCCACATTTCCTGGGGCCTTCTTCTTGCTCCCAATGTACTTGAAAAAGGACTTTTTGTTGTCCTTAATCCTGGATGCTAGCCTGAGGTCCATCTCTACTTTGGCCTTCCTAATAGCCCTCCTGTACTCACGGGCCAAGGAGGAGTACTCTTCCTTGGTGATAGCTCCTCCCTTCCACTGGTTGTACACCCCACTTTTAGTCCTCAGGCATTGCTGAATGCCCTTGCTGAGCCAAGGGGGTTTCTAAGCATTCTTACCACCCTTGCTTCTCTCAGGGACTGTTATTCTTTGGGCCTGGAGGATCACCCCCTTAAGGTACGACCATACCTCGTGGACTCCTATCTCCTTCACCTTCTGGGCCCTCAGCGCCTCACCCACTAGTCTCCTAAGCTCATTGAAGTTGGCCCTTCTGAAGTCAAGGACATGTCAGAGAAGACTCAATTAATTGTGTTTGCTGATGTGTGGTAATTACTGTGCTCCAGCAGACTCCAGTATCGTGTTCTGGCACTCCCATGCTGAAAAATGCCAGTGGGGATACTTTAACTAAAACTTGTTTTGATGAGTGGGGATGCTGAAACACATGACGCTCCAGGCGCTTTAATTAGAGTGGATCTCAGAGCCGGTCTAATTAAAGTGCTCCCCCCGCCCACGGCCTCCCAGAACACATGTATAAATTCCCTTAATTCTGCATGCAGTTTTGATTATATTAGTTGTAATGATTACATATGGGAACTACTTATACTGCATAAGCAAGAGGATAACAGAGGAAGTTAATCAAAAAGAAATTGGCCCAAAGGAACAGCAGGCTAATCTGCCTTAATCCCACAGACAGGTGGATTTTCCTTTTCCAGCATCAACTGGGTTGGCACTAGGCTGCTGGAAAGAGCTGTCCCATGACTGAGCACATGCACTTTGACAGCTTTCAAGAACAAGTAGAACAATAAATTAAATTTGTGATGATAATAGAGAAGAAGAGCCAAAGAAACCATATTACGTACAAATGAAGAGGAAAGATACCTATGTCAATAGGTTCTTCAATGGCTCTCTGAGTTATTGTGCAACTGTTGGTTAAGATTCCTGTTTCAGAGAAATGTATTGTATGCAATCCATATGGAAGCTTATAAGTTTTGGTGGCTTGTCAACAATGAGTGATGGATTCTGTACCTTTCTACAGCACAGGTACCAGGACCAAAACATACATGCTTCTTATAGCTACTGCTACTGTTGTTGGAGTAGTAAGGAACCTGATACCATGGACCTGAGTCACTTCATTTTGAAATGTACTAGAGGCTCTGGATTATCAGAACCTGTTGTAACCCAACTTCAAAACTCCCCAATAAGAGTTAAGTGAATTAAGACTTCTTGGTTAGGGACAGACATTACACATACACTGGTTTAAACCTGTAACAGAACATAAGGTCAATGCACATAAAACAGTTTCAAAATGGCTGAAACTGGTTTAAGATAAACCTGATTGAATGTAGTGTCAGACTTAACAGATTTGGGTCAAACCAGTTTACACAATGTCTGTCCCAGACCCCCATCCTGGTTTAAGTTCAATCATAGTACCCCAGCATCCCAGATGCTTTGCAGCCCTGGGCTGGGCTGGGCTGTCTGCTGGAGTAGAGCAGGGTTGACTCCACCCCTCTGCTTCCTAGCCAGAGCACTATCACTGCTCCAGCTACCTGAGGGACTGCAGAGGCTGCCCCCCCCCCCCCCGCTGGCTTTTCAAGCGGGCACCCCCCCCCCTGCCTCTCTTTCATGACAGGGACCCCAGAGCAGGGACCTGGCATCTGGCCATGCCCCCACTCCTCCCATGCTAGCTAATGCTGAGTGGTGTTTGTGTGGGCCTCCAATTTCACTAGAATAAAGGTAGACAGCTAGTGCAAATTCACCCTTGCAGATAAGAAGAGCTTGAAACTAATGAGAGAGATTTTTTTTTGTAGGGCTTGATGGGATGATACACTTTGTTCTGATAAGGTACCTGCTGGCTGCAATCTGTCAGTCTTCAAGAGGGGACAGAGAAAGGTGTTAGAAATGACCTGGTTTGCAGACAGTATGAAGAAGCAGGGAGAAGGAGATTTGAAAAGCTCAGTATCCTCAACAGATGCAGGGTCTGGCAACACTCCCCACCCCTTGAGCAGCAAGTTGGGAAAAGCCTGGGATAGTGCAGGCAGGGTGGGGGTTTACCCCACTCCCTAATAAGAGCTTCCTGCTAGAGCCTGGCCACACCCCACCTCAGCTCAGCACTAGAGAAGGGAAGGGAGGGCTGCTCTAGCACCCTCCAGCTTCTAGCTGAGCCACTGCAGGCATGTGCCTGCATTTCTGGAATGAAAAGGAAATGCCTATCTACCTCCAAATTGATTCAAGTGTTGCAGATTAACCTGCAAAGATTGAATCAATTCAGGTTCTGGCTTTTTGAATGTCTGTCCCTAGCCCATTTGTCTACTTTACCCTGGTGAATTACCATACTGTTTCAATTGCAAGTTGACCATGAATGTAAGTCAAGCCTGTGTTTTCAAGTTTAGTTTTAGGAAAAACAGCTTTTTCCTGGAATACAAGTCACCAACTACAGATAAATATCTTGAACTACCTTTACAATGCCCTTATGAAATCCTCTGGGAGACTCCTGTAGCCAAGGCCTGGACTAACCAGGTTTAAATGCAGTAAAAATACTGCAATAAAACTGCACTTGAAAAGATTTCTGACTTGGTATTTTTACTGGATGCACAAAAACATATCAAGTAGTAAAGTCAGTAATAGAGGGAACTTGATTATAGATTGACTCATGCATAAATTGAGTGAGGTTTTGCTTTCCTTTTGGAGGAAAAAGTAAACTTGTAATCCAAACAACACAGTAAATATCATTGGTAATGCACAGAAGAGAGAAACAATTAGTTGGAATGTTTCTGGTTTCACTGCTATACTAGATCTGAAAAACAAAGAGGCATAACAGGTAGTTTCTATGACCTGGGGGGCAGCAGTGGTGTTTGGGCCTATAATGATGGCAGCTACCATTCTTATATCCCCTCAACATCGGTGCTCAAGCCTGGTGCCCCACTTACCCACTAGTTATGCTATTGGAAAAGCCTGATCAGATGAGCGTTTTTTTTTTTGAAAGCCAGTCATAGATTCTTTGCCAGAATGGGGTACGTGTATGTGAATTTTACCATTAGCAGGTAATGGAACTCTCTCTATTGCCCACTCTTTGATGGTGCTTTTTTGCTCTGGAGAGACATTGGTGAAGATTTCTGCTTGACATTTGGCTGGGTAGATATGAAAAAGGGCTAGAAAGACTAGAAATATTCTACCTACTCTGTTGTGCAGATGAGAGTTCAAAGAGTCAGTTTTCACTGCTTTTACATTAGTGGCTTTCAACCTTTCCAGATAGAAGGCACCCCTTGCTAGACTCAAGGCACTCCTTGGAAATGCCAGTTCTTAATTTTCATTTGTTTTTTGATTAAGGAAAAATAATAGAACAATTTTTCTGGTGCAAACAACTCAGACTACAAACAGTCGCAATGTTTTTTATGCTCCAAATACCTATTTGAAATCTCTGGTTTTATCTTATAAATCATACATGCATATGTAACAGTACTAATATAGCATGGCTCCCTGAGGCACCCTGAAAGGATCTGAAGGTACTCCAGAGTGCTGTGGCACCTTGATTGAGAATCACTGTTCTACATTAAATAAGAGCAACACAATTATGTAATAAGCCTAAGACTCTTGGTTCAAAGAAAAAGGGAAAACTGTGCTTCAAGTCCATTATAATATCTGTATTTATCCATACCTGTGAGCACAAACATTGTTTGTGATTAGAATACAAAAGAGATATTAATATAACCTTTCATTCTTAACTGCAGTGAACAAAAGGAAGCACTAATGGCTTTGAACTGTAGAGTTCTGTAAGCCACTCTCTTTTTTTCCCCCCTGATTACAAAAATTATAGGTAAATGAATAGCTGGGTAGAATAATAGCATGTCCTCACCTTTACAAGAGTCTTTGTGTCATTGACAATGTCATTGTGCAGTGTACCAATAGGAACTGATGCATATGGAGGTGCAGATGTGATAAAGGCACCTGTTAGGGTTCAAAATGGAAAGTAAGTGAGAAAGGGACATTCATTAGAAAAAAGGCAAATAACTGTCACTCTTCTTTGTCACTTTAGATGTCATTTGACAGGAGATATGATTCCTATGTAGTGTACATATGAGTGGAGAAAGCCTAAGCTGTAGTAGTATGAATTATTCTGTAACTGAAACTCCTCCTCTTATATGTAATGCATGGTTTTCATTAGGAACGTAAGTCAGTGAGGTTGCATATGTTTAACTGAAAGTGGAATTTAGCCATGTGGATATGTAAGAACAGGCTAGATGCATTATTTTCTGCTATATTTTATTAATGCTCAGTATACCAAAGTGCATATTTGATTCTGCTTGTTTTAAATTTTGTTTCTATCATTTACACCTTTTATATTATTGAAAGTAACAAACAATCTTGGAAGAATCATAAATTTTCCAGCTGGAGACAACTGAATTTGGAAGCAAAGACACCATAGTTGAAGTTGTATTTGATAAACTTCCATAATTTTTGTAGCAGTACACATTACACTTGTTGCTCCATTGTACCAGGCTCCATTTTTTGCTATTACAATTATACTCTATTGTGAGAAACTCTGCTTTGTTTTGTAATATTTCTTTACCATAGTATTGCATGTTGGAGTTTTCTTTTTTGTAATCTGGGAAATAATGGGTTAATTAGACCTGGGGGTGAAGGTGGTGCTCTACATATGTTTCAGCTACCAGAAGAGGGACTATCAAGAATACACGGCATTCATTTGTATATGAAGAAGCATTGGAGTATTATTGAATTCAGGCTCCAGCACCTAGCTGTGTCTGGCTGGAAGGAGTGGTATCAAAGAAGTCCCAGTGTGAGAGAGAGGCTTGAGGAAAGAACTTCCAGAGACACAAGGATACTGAGACTATGGACAGTCATTCAGTTCCAGAGCTGTAAAGCCAGAAAGTGTGTTAAGAGGAAACCTGCAGGCATTCCAGCCCCCTGACTGAAGAGCAACTAAGATGGTCTCTCAGCCACAGGGCAATAGGAAGGCACTCCTTTGTTTCTCCTTCCCCAACATGGGTTGGAGGTAGCTGCAGGAAAGAGGCAACTTCTAGCCACCTGAGGTGATCCCTACTCTGCCCTCCTGTAGGTGAACTGGAGCTAAGCTTGCAGCCCCCACTGGTGACCTGGGAGGCAGCTGCTTTCCTCACCCCTAGCACTCTCAGGCATTCTTGATGATTCTTGTATAGGAAGTTTGGTGCGGTCCAAAGGGCTGGAGTTGGCCTTGGAGTTTGAACAGGCTTGGCATTGTTCAAAAGGCTGGAAGTAGGGTCTCCACAGGGCTCCCTGGAAGGGCCCCTCGAATGGGAAGAGGAAGAGCAGAGGTCTGTGGGATAGCGGGGATTCTAGGGACCCCAAGGGAAGTGAACAGGTGTTATAGATGGCACTAGATAACTTCTCTCTCCATTTTGGTTGGAAATGCTAACATTTTTGCAAAGTGTTGCTTTTCTTTTTCCAACTTCCTCCCTCCCCCCAAAATATAAAAAAAACAAACTTTAATGCCTATACATAGTTTTTATACCTGGAAAAAGACATTTTTCCCTGCACAAATATAATACCTGTCCATGGCCTGAGTCCTGAGGGAAAAGGCAACCTAGCCTAGGAACTCTGCCTGAGATTTGGCCTAGGCATTGTGACACAAGGATTCTGCCTGCTATCTTGCTGTTAACTAATAAATGCTGTTCTATTTTAAAGGACCTGTCTGTTTCACTGCATGCAACTTTGGATGCACACTATCCCCGTAAAGAAGTAGGGTCTCTCTAGGAACTGAGCCAGAAAACAACTCACTGGATTTGCCAGGGATAACCAGGTAGTGCAAGGACCAGAAAGCCTGGTTTCTGAGTCCAGGAAACCTGGTCCTCACCTGTTCTAGAAGCTATGCCTCGGCTGGCATCAAGGTAGTGCTCAAAGGCTGCATCTACACAAGATGTTTACCATGCAGTAAACTAATTAGTTGTATAGTAAACATCTCGGTGTCTATATATGCATCCCTATGAGGCTGGACTAAACTAATTCACTTTGCAGGATAGTACTTGTAAGTAGAAATACTATACATGTGTAGATGCTGTCTTGGCTGGCTGGGGCATGCAGGTGCTTCAGTGTTGGGGCTGCCTGCTGATTAGCCCCACACTGAAGCAGCCTTGTGCCCCAGCCAGCCCCTCTGCAGCACACTGAGACAGGGGGAGAAACCTTGGGCTAGCAGGCTGACTCCCTGGGTGCCCTGCCAGAAGGGGCTGCTCTGATCTGGCTCAATATGCTCAACTCTTGGGCATGCGTTCAAATGGAAATAAACTCCCAGAACATAGCTAGACACTCAAATGAGCACCAACACCCTGAGATACTTGCATAGTGACAGAAAACCTTAGGCAACCAGGGGGGAACTCAGGTGCCTTTATGGGAACACCAGAAGTATGGGCAACAAACAGGAGGAACTGGCTCTCCTTCTGATAGATGAGGAATTTGACCTCATTGGGTTGACAGAGATCTGGTGGGATGACATGCACGATTGGGCTGTGGATATCAATGGCTATAGGTTCTACAGGAAGGACCACATTGGGAAGAAGGGAGGAGGGGTGGCCCTCAATGTGAAAGAGCGGTACCCTCCCTGCAGGTCAGGTTTGATAGTGGGAAGAGGTCCCTTGAGACCCTCTGGGTCAAGATACAAGGGGGCTCAGGAGAGGGTAACCTGATGGTGGGAGTCTACTACAGGCCTCCCTCCCAAGAAGAGAACAATCAGGCATTTTCCAGGGAACAGGATGAGGCAGCCAGCACTAAAGACCTGATTGCCATGACTTCAGTTACCTTGACATCTGTTAGGGGGATCATTTGGCCAGCTCTAGCAAGTTGGCCAATTTCTTGGCAACTATTGATGATTTATTCCTGTCAAAGGTTGTTGAAGTGCCGGCTAGGGGGGAAACCATTCTGGACTTAGTGCTTACCAAAGGGGGAGGATATGGTAGGCAACCTGAGGATTGGTGGTACTCTGGGTGACGATGACCATGATCTGATTAAGTTCACCATCCACCAGAAAGCTAGGATTTCAATTAGTAGAACACAAGCCCTAGATTTTAGTAGGGCAGGCTTTAACAAACTCAGGAGTTCAGTTAGAAAGCCCCTCTGCGATGAGCAACTGGAGGATGTGGGGGTTCAGAGGCAATGGTGCCTCCTCAAGGGAGAAATCCTCTCTGCTCAAAAAGAGGTAATTTCCATGAGATTAAAAACTGGGAAAGGAGCCAAGAGACCCGCTTGGCTCAACAGGGATACTAGATAATGTTTGAAAAAGAAAAAGGACAGATCTAGGCAATGGAAAAAAGGATCAGCAACCAGAGAAGAGTTCACTTATATAACCAGGGTCTGCAGGTATGAGATATGGAAAGCCAAAGCAGGCATGGAGATTAATTTAGCATCCAAAATTAAGGACAACAAAATGTTCCCCATGTACCTGTAAAAGGACAAGAAGAAATCAAGCTCCACTGTGGGACCCCTACTGAATATGGAAGGGCAGCCAACAGTAGTTCCCCATGAAAAGGCAGACCCCTAAATGGTTACTTCACATCAGTATTCCAGAAAACTAACAACAGCTGTCCACCTGTCCAGAGGCCCAAGGAATATTAGGAAGTCAACAGACAACATGAAATCAGCCCGACCAGGTGAGGGTCCTCTTAGAACAATTGGACAATTTTAAGTCCACTGGGCCAGATGACCTACATCCTAGAGTCCTAAAAGAACTGGCTGAATTCATAGCAGGGTCTTTGGTGAACGTATTTGAGAAGTTGTGGAACTTGGGAGTGGTCCCAGATGACTGGAAGAGGGCCAACGTAGTATCCAACTTTAAGAAAGGGAGGAGGGATGACCCTGCAAACTATAGACCGGTCAGTCTGAATTTGCTCCTAGGAAAAACTTTTGAAAAAATTGTTAAGGAGGCCATCAATCACAAACTGGTAACTGACAGGGTATTAGAAACAACCAGCACAGCTTTGTGGAGAGTAGGTCATGCTTAACAAACTTGTGTCCTTTTATGACCAGGTAACTAATAGTGCTGTGCAAAGCTTTGGATTGTGATTCAGATTTGGAGATGATTTGGATGATTCAGAAGCTGAATCTATGAATCCAAATTGAATTTCTAGAAGCTTTAGGCTTTTTGAATCGATTTGGAGCTTCCAAATGGATTTGGAAAAGATTCAGCGATTCAGAGATTCGGCCATAGGGTATAATGAGGAATCAATGAAATATCTATAACTTTGTTATTTTTAGGCCGATTCAGATGAAACTTGCAGTGATGGTATCTGCTGCTGAGGGCATAAAGCCTGCCAGGTTTCAGGGTGACAGGCACAGACATTTCTGGGAAACTGCACCTCAAATTCCTGAAAGCAAAACTCATGTCACGTGTGTGTGTTAAGCCACAGTGGGGTGAAAACTGCAGGGGTTGTAGCTCTTGCTGGTCCACAAAGCCTGCCAAGCTTCAAGGAGATTGAGGTGCAGTTTCCCAGAAACCCCTGCACCTGACTGCTGACAAGCAAAACTCATGACATAGGTGACATTGTGTGTGTGTTAAGGCACAGGGGGGTGAAAACTGCGGGGCTCCTAGGGCCTGCTGTGGCCACAACACCTGCCAGCTATCAAGGAGATAGGTGCAGGGGGAGTCTGGGTTCTGGGGCCCTGCACCTCCGGCCACAGGCAGGCAAAACTTGTGGGACTGTGTGTGTGTTCAGGTGCATCCTTCGTGGTGCGGGGGCCTCTGAACAACATGGCAGTGTGCCCCCTGTGAGGTCTCCTCCTCCCCTACCACCTTGGCCTGGTCCACCACTGTAAATGATGGCAGATCAAAATAACTTTTGTGAGAGCCCGGCAGGACAAATTATGATGAGGGGAAACCAGCACGGGTTCGTGGCAGGCAGATCGTGCCTGACCAATCTAGTTTCTTTTTATGACCAGGTTACGAAACGCCTGGACACAGGAGGAGGGGTGGATGTCGTATACTTAGACTTCAGGAAGGCCTTCAATGTAGTATCCCACCCCATACTGGTGAACAAGTTAAGAGGCTGTGACTTGGATGACTACACAGTCCGGTGGGTGGCAAATTGGCTGGAGGGCCACACCCAGAGAGTCGTGGTGGATGGGTC